TGGTGTTATTGTAGATACTATTGTTGAGAATAAGGTCGAGATTATAGTCGATAGTGTAATAGTTATTGGTATAACTATGTTACTTATTAATATCTTGTTTCAAATAGTTTGTTAACTTTGTTAGTATTTGGTCCTAGAACTTGTTAATTTAGTTGTTGCTTGGTTATGCCTTGAAATGGTTCTGTTCTTAGTAAAGGTATTATATGTTGTTGATATCTTTTCTTCTTATATTGAAGTATGATTATAAGTATTACTACTCTTATCAATATTATTGCAAAGGTAATTATTCCTCCTGTAATTTCAAGTTCAGTTGTTATTTCCTGAGATGTGTTGTCAGTTGTTGACATTTATCTCTTTTTCCAATATGATTTATTGGTTGGTAGAGATGGTGCAGTTAGTATTACTCCTGGTCAAAATGTTATATTAGGTCATGGTGTTATTCCTATTGGTTGAGATGTTGTATCAATTGGTCTTGGTTGTGGTACTGTATTATTTGATTGAGGTCTAAATCTAAAGAGTTGGTTAAGTCTTTGTTGGACTTGTGTATCTCTTGAACTTTGTGATTGTGTTCTTGGTATTGGATTAGATTAAAGGTTTTGAGGTTTCTTTGGTACTATTGATACTCGAAAGTGTACTTGTCTATTGGAGTTTGGAATAGTTATTGTTTTTTGATTTGTTCAAGATCTGGGTGGTTTAATATTTGGATTATTAGACATATAAGGTTAAATTTCTTTTTTAGCAACATATAGATTGTTGTAGGTATTGATCTGCTCCAGGTATGTTTTTGTTAACTTTCTTTTTATATCTTTGGTATTTACAACAACAATAGAATATTACTTTGATTAGTAATACTACAAAGATTTCAATTATTAATCTGTACAATAGTTGTGTAGCTAAAGGGTTGTTTTCAAAAGTGTTGCAGCTTATTTTTGAATTAGTTTCAGTTATCAATTGTTGATATTGATTTGTAAGTTAAATAATTATTAATTATTAATATTGTTGTGGATAATATTATTGTTACTATAATTATTAATCCTATTGTGATTATTAATAGAATTGTTGTAATCATGCATGTGTCAGTGTATTATTCAGCAGTGTAGTTATGGTATAAATGATTATTAATATTCCTATTGTGCCTGTAATTATTAAGCTTATTATGGCAATTGTTATTTGTGTGGTCGTTTTTACTTCAAGTAAAGTGATTGATAAGCCGATTGAGATTATTAATCCAATTGTTGAGATAATAATTATTTTCTTGTATTGTTTTATCAATTCAAATAGATTTGTCATCAAAGGTTTATCTGATTAAGTCAGTTTGATTATATTGTAGTAATCCTGTGTTTTGAAGCCTTGTGATCTGTTTTTTGTAATTATGGAGTTTTTTTTTACATATAAGTATTATTCCAGTTATGGTAGTTATTGCAGTTAATATGGTGATTATTAATGCAACAAAGGTGTTTATAGCTTCTTTGTTCTGTAAGAAGTCTGGTTAATTTGTAATCAAAGATGTTTGGGTTACAATAGCACTTATTGTAGTGGCAGCTTGAGTGTTTGTTGGCAAGGCAACTATTACATTTATTACATCAGTTTTGGAGATTCTTGTTTGTAAGCAGATTACTAGTGTAATAATTATTAAGCAAATTTTGCTTTGTAATAATAGGTTTTGCATTCGTATTGTTGAATTACTAATTTCTGGTAATTTTGATATAGTTGTTTTGTGAGATGATCAGTCTGCGAGTTTCAACAATAAGGTTTCATTTTAGCCTTTTCAGCCTTACTGGTCATCAATATCAGATTAGGTTGATTAGTATAGTTAATCTTCTAAATTAGAGTAAGCTTTTTTTCAATTATACTTGCTTAAGAGTTGTTTAAGCTCTATTTGTTTTGCAATACATTTGCTTGGTAAGTTTGGTTTGAATAGTTGTATAGTTTATTTCTTTTCTGTACATTTTTCTGTTATAAGTTTGTTAGTATGGATATGGTTTTTAGTAAGTTGAGCACCTTTTTGCACTACTAATTTCTTTTTCACAATGGGCTAGGCCATGCTTTCTCTTGTGAAATGGTTTTGTTGATTATTTATTCAGAGGCGGATAAAGTCTCTGAGGTACTACTTGGTTACTACTATGCCTCTACTTGGGCATTTAAGCTATCTAAGCTTTATTACTTTGGCATCAGGTTATTTACTGTTTATATTTATGTAGAAGGATTATAGGATTATATTATTTTACTTGCACAAGGTTTGTATTTAATAAATTGGTTTTTATTAAATTTATTTAATAAAGTATTATACTAATGTTTAATGTTTTATCTTTTAGCTCTTTTTGTTCCCGAATGTCTTTTGTTTTCATGTGGTCTCTTTATATATTATATAAGTATAATATATTTCTATTGTGTGCCTTTGGTATTGTTTTATATAAAGGTATATGGGTATAATATATGTGTAAGTGCCTATTGTTCAATGTTGATTGTGAAGAGGCAACAATAATATTATTGTTCTTTAATATTATTTGATGCCATGTCTGGACTCCTATAGTCACATTGGATGCCTTTGGGTATATGAGGTTTATCAGATCACTATTACATTGTTGGTATAAATTGGTTTTAGATAACTATTATATGTTGGGTGCTTATTATTTGATTAGTAATCCCACCTTCCTCTTGTATTATTCTTTTTGTTGGATACTATCGCAGAGTTTTTAATTATTAATTTTTTCTGCCACTTTTTATAAGTGTTTTAGGCATTTGTATTATTCTTTTGAGTGTTTATAAAACACTCTTGTTGGGTGTTATCAAGGGTTTTTTCTTTGTTTGTTTCTTTTCTTGGTTGGGCGCATCATGTTTCTTCTTTTCTTAGGATAATTCTTTATAAGCTTATTTTGACTCTTAATAAATTAGTTTTGTTGTTGGGCACATTGCTCTTCTCAATGTTTCTTGTGTGTTCGGTTACTCGTATCTGAGTTCCAAATTAATAGTTCAGATTTGAGAGTTCTTTGAGACAAATAAAATTTTAAGTACTTTATAAAAGGTAAACAAGCAAAAATGCATCGGAACTAGATTTGTACTACCGTACAGCACTGACTAAAGTATCCCATGTATAATACCCCTCTGGATATAGTCGTTTATACTATGTACCCAGTACATACATGAATGAATACATATTTTATTAGACCAAGATACCCCAAGCTGTATCCTTCGAGAAAAATACCCATCAAAATGGTTTATTTGTAAAATACCCAGGGTATTTAAGTCAGTGCTGTACGGTAAGTAAATCTTTCTTCGAACTTTAACAAAGTTGTTCTTCAGAACAACTTTTGTTAAAGCTCCAAGGTTTACTTAGTACTAGATCCAGATCTAGAATATTTTTTTTCAATCTTACTATAAAATAAACATCCCTTACTATGGGTGAGCGCATTTATTTTGAAACTATATATTTTTAGGGGGGCATGATGTAATAACAGATAATAATTATTTTATTTACGTGTAATTTTTATAATACTGTCTTTGATCGCATGACGAGAATTTACGTGTTATTAATCACAATTTTTATACTTAATTATTTTTCTTTTAGTTATTTCTCCGGGTTTATTAGTTATCACCTGGGTTTTCTATTTTTTATCACCCAAAAATTTTAAACCTTAAAGAAGACAAAAAAATGTGATAGAAATGATTAATAACCGTTATACCATCACATGAAACAATAAATAACTCATTTATTCCACCGTGTCGAGGAAATAATTTAAATATTTCCCCGGCGGAGCATGTATAGAGCACAAAGTGCCTCACATATGCCACTGGGGGGAATTCATTCCTGCCGTAAATAAATAGTATATACTTATTAATTATTATATTTTATTTATTATAAACTAACTATTATTAAGTTTTGTTTTGCTACAGGATGTAGGACATGTTTAATGTATCTATTAAAAAATCTGATATAATTAAATTTTTTTATTAAAATTTTTGTCAACAATTACTATATATTATTATATTATTATTTAGTTCAAATTATAGTTGTTTAAAACTTAATGAATTAAAATTTTTATAATACTAGCACTAAAACTTTTACGCTCAGTACGTTTATTAAATACTATATTATTACTAAATTTGTTAGTTTTAATATTAGTACTATTGTTTCTGAATTTGATAATATTAGTTGGCTTTTTAATTGAATATTAATGCTAAAATTCTTTATATTTGCAAGTTAGAGTGTATATTTAATACCGGTACAAGATTTGCTAATAATTAAAAGTATATTGTAACGTTTACATTAAAACAAATATATTTAATTTGCATAAATGTCGAAAATTAAATAATCAAAATAGAAAATGTCAATTAAATATCATTAAACATAAATAATGTCAATTATACGAATTAAAGATGTGTTGCAAAAAATCACTTTAACGGCTTGATATCCAGATGGTTTCTCCAATAAGCAATAACAAAAATCTATAATTCACATAAAATAAACAAGTATTAGTAAAACTCTTTATAAATATATAAAAACTTATTTTATTATCAAAATATAATTTACTTGTTTAGGGTCCATTTCTTCTCTAACTTTCATCCAATCATCATACTTTTCATATAAACTTCTAATTCTTTTACCATACCCTTCAGGAATATGTTTACCCCAATGACATCTGAAATTGTAAGGATAAAATGCATCCCAATATTGTTTAAAAAATTCACGAGAAGTACCAATAGGGTTTTTTTGAAAGTATTGAATATCAATTCGTATACTATCAGTATTATATGACTGAGACAGCCAGAAATGTGATTTTTTAGTAGTATAAAGTTCAGTTGTAAAGTTTCCTATTACTTTTTCACCTCCAGTTTTGTATAATTTATTTAAAGCATGTACGATATCTGTTAAGATAAATATGTTAAAATTAATTATGGAAAGAGTAAGATGAATAACTATATAAGGATGTTCAAAAATAATTAATTATTTTACCATTGGTTTTCTCAATAGGGAATAATAATTCACTAAAAGTTGCTGGAAAAATCGTGTCGGAAACCTAAATATGAATTTTATAAACAAAGTAAATAGATTTTACAAAAAGTTATTTAACTAAAAATATGAATAAATTTTTGATGAAAAGGAAGAATATGTTAATTACCTTATCATCCATAGGTAGTCCACTGTACCATTTATCTTGAAACTCTTGAATTCCAATTGGGTTAAATAAATTTATTAGGTAAGCGGCAATCCTTTTATAAAATCTATTCTCCGATGAGAATAAATTCAAAGCTATCATCACCAAACTAGCAACTAACTGAGCAGGAATCTCTGATCCGGCAAAAACAGGAAATTCATTGTATGGTTTAATAGATAATGATTTTTCATCTATACTTGGAATAGGAATAGGTTTAGCTCTCCAGATTGTCAATCGGTTGACACCTTCTTGAGGCCACCAAAAAATTCGGGCATAATCAGCATCATATTCTTTGCTTTTTGTAAAAAATTCGTAAATACTTGGAATTTTTTGTTCTCTATCACCATCACCAAGTAAATCAATTGGACAGCCAACTTTGAAGTCGTTTGATAACGGAGTAATCGGTGCAATGATTTGGTTGCCAGTAATATAATAATTTTTCATAAGCTTGAAGGTAACCTTTGTAATAATTCCAAGGAGACCAAGAGAAACACCTGCAGCGAGGAACTTAGAGTTATCTTCATCATCAATTGAAAGGTCATAAATATCTCCTTTACCATCGATAATACGAATTTTAATGATTGAATCATGAACATTATGGATTAAAGAGCCACCAGCTGATCCTGTAGAAATAAAACCACCAACGGTTTGATGAGCGATACCACCAAGATCAGGAAGGGCATATCCTGCCTGATCTATGATATAATTAAAACTGTTCTGTAGTGTAGAATTTTCTATGTCTTCTGGATCCCGATTAAGATGTGTGCCAGCTTTAACAGTGGCTGTGTGATTTTTATAATCAATTTCTACACCGTGATATTTTTCTAAACATAAAAATCTTATCTATTGAAAGTTTGCAGTGAAATTAGAATCATATTATAAACAATAAAGTAATTGACTTATGGAATAATTGAATTGGATCTTATTTTGAACCATTTCAATTAGTCCAAATATTTATTGGAATATTGGATTATGGATTCTATTTAAAAAAATATTACAGCATCACGTACATTGCATTGTATCCAATCACATTATTTGACCTATAATATTAATTTTAATAAATGGAAGCTGCGAAAAAATTTTTAAAACTTTGAAAAGCAAAAATACCGCCCTAGATGGATCAGTATCACTGACCAATCAGGAATTATACTTTTACCTTTGAAAATATCTCGACAATCGCCTAACCAAATTTTATAACAAAAAACTTTAGGCAAGTGATTTTCGAGATATCATGTTAAAAGTTTTAAAAATTGTCGTTACTTCTATTTAATAAATCCTGATAAATTTTTAAATGAATATATTTTGAAAATTTTTTAACATATTTATAAGGTCAAAGTAGAAAAGTTTTATCTAGGAAATTGTAGAGATATATACGTAAGAATTATAAAAATATTAGCAACCACCTAACCAAATTAATAAAAAAATTTCTATTTTTACATTGATAAAGTAGTAATTGCAGAAGATATCTTTGATAGTTACTTAACCAAATTCAATAAAATTTTGTTTAATCCTATGAACATATAGAATTAAACTAACATTCTGATTGAATTTTGGTTAAATGGTTATATCTTCGTTCAATTTTTTAAAAACTTCATAATACATAAGAGTATAATATTTTTTAATTGAACCCATTCGAATTGTTTCCAATTTCATTCCAATTAAATTTCAATTTGATAATTTCAATTGGCAATGCTAAAAAAAATCAACATTACCTTCTTTTTCCCAGAGATATCTGAAACATCAAGAATTGCTTCGGGAACAGAATGTCCAGATCCAATGACTCTTACAATAGTATTACCGTCTTCATACGCTTCTTTTATGGTTCTCTGAATCTCAGCTTCATCTGTAGGGTATTCAATCTTGGTTTGACTAGGTAATGTAATGTGCATACGTTTTTTTACAGGCCTTGGGGTTGTCCATTCATCTTTGAACAATTCTAAATAACGTCTAATTTTTTTAAGGATTTTAAGTTTTTCTTTGTTGTCATTCGTTTCATGAATTTTAAAGACATGATCTTTAATATATGCATGATGGTCTTCAGGTTTTTTATCTTGATGTTTGAAAAAGCCAAGGATTTTGTCCATTGTTGATAATGATTTCTTTAGCAGAGATTTATATGAGTGTATTTGCTACATGCAAATAAATGATGGATCAATTGGCGATACTTTAATTATCTTTCTTGGCCAGTACATTTTTGAAGAAATTGAGAAAAAACGCGATCAAAAATAAGATCTTTCATCATGCTCCATAAATATACAATAACAAAAAGAACCAACAAATAACGTTACTGAGACGTTTTTATAAATCTTTACACCAACTAAGTTGGTAAATTTATCAAAAAACATCATTAATGAACTCAAAAAAGTACCTACCTTCTAATTTAATAAATGATATTAGCAAAAAATGGCAATGATAGTAATTAACTGACTATTTATCAGATAACTTTGCACACCGGCACAAAAACATTTTGATCCGTTTTATATGTTTCACTAATAAAAACTTTACTAGTAAAACAATGTTCCATGATCGTTACAACCCCAATTTTTTTTTTTTTTTTTTTTTTGCTGAGACACGCCGACACGATTATGAAAGTTTGGGGAAAACAAAGTGGCATATTGCGTCAAAATAAATGGGGGGTTGTGTTATGTTATTTTAAATGGATGTTACGTTATGTTACGTTGCAACAATAACAAACCGAATTTGTGTTACGTAAATCAACAGAATCCGCAGTTATGAATTTCCCTGTTTCTCAGATCAAATCTAATTTCAATTTTCCGATTGATACACTCAAAATATTATTAGGTTATTTTTTTTTTTTAAAAAAAAACCATTGATTATCTCAAAAAAGGCAGATAATAAACTACCTTATTATTGCAATTTTAAGATAACCCATTATTATTTTTATCAAGCTTCTTGTCTTTTTTAAGTTGTTTTTTTTTTTTTTAATATCAATATACCAATATTAATTAGTGTAGTGCTTATTCACGATAAGATAGAGTATATCGGATTAGATTACGTTATCTGAGTAATTTAATTAATTAGTTAACGTTATTATTAATTTCAAGGAATTCGGAGTTTATAACTCACGTGAGACAAAATAAATCTCGATTATTTAAATTCTAAAATTGGAGGCGTATGGCAGAATTGTAAATCCCCAACGAATAAAAATATTGTAACTTTGTAATATTAAACATGTTTATAAGAACATATTTTATTTGTTCACCTACTGTGGTGTAGAAAAGTAGCAACGTGATTCCCTAAAATGGTATACAACGTGGCGCATCGTTTGGTGCAAATTCTTTCACGATCATCAGTATTTTATCGGTTTTCTATCACGTGATAATTCGGTTAGCGGTGACGCCTTGAATCGCTAAATTTACATAACGCCCCTTTTTTTATTTTTAATTTGATGCTTTTTATACGGATTTGCGAAACGCAGTTTTGCTATATTTGCACTTCCCTTCCCGTTCGGATTAGCTAATATATTATTAACCATTTATAGCGAAAAAAGTCATTGAAAAATCCACTGTGCCACAAAGTTGTAATCTATCTTTTCTTGTAATGCAAACCTAAGCGGAGAAATGCAGAATAGAAGACATATTCATAAATATACTTGTAAAGAATACGCAACCTTTTTATTAGTGTGTCAGAAAAACGAATTGTTTATCGCAGATATATTACATTATCTTTAACTTCCATCTTTTTTTCCATTCTGATTTTTTAAGCCCTGATGAATTGATAATCGATAAACTAAAATCATGATATTTATGATTAACCAATTTATAACTGTCTTCAAATGGTTAACAGGTGCAAACCTTTATACCATGAGAAACTCTCATGATTTTCCTTACTTACTATTTCGCGAATATAAGGGAAACTATGGTTTGCATCTGATTACACTTTTGAAAGCTATAATAAGTATGAGCAACCAATCAAATTGACTCATATATGTTGTAAGTTGTAATAGAGTTTAAGTGGACTTGGAATTTCCAACCTTAATTAGAAAATTTCAAATTCCGTTTCCATTCACAACATTGCCTATAGATTTCTAAATTTACTGACACAAGCCATTTTCAATAGAAAATTTGACAATTAAATTTTTGATATACTGAAGTTAAAAACAGTCTGTATAAATTCTCTCGATATAGCTAACTTATCTATAAAGCTTTTTTTAAAAAAATATTTTTAATAGACTCAACTTAACAGGAGTATCTATCACCAGGGATGGTAAATGACCTGGTCATTTGCTCAAAATTTAAATGACCCAGTCATTTGGTTAAATGACCCTGGTCATTTGGTCATTAGGTCATTTGGGTCATTTACGCATAAAGTAATTTTATTGGTCAGATAGCA